TTTTTTCAACAATTGAAGGCGGTGTTGAGGTGGAAGAGTCGACAAGGAACAAAATAGATGTTGTGGAGTCAAGAACTGTAGGACCGGTGATTGCGCATAAATCATAATTATGGTGAGATCTATCGCAGCTGATTTGTGGGGATTGAGAAGGTGGCTGAGGAAGTTGGTCCAACTTGCTTGTTGATTTCAGTTCTAGGTCATTTTTGTCTGCAACCATAGAAATACTATATCAATTTTGGACGAAAGTAACATTTTATTCTTCATATCAGTAATTATTCTTGACTCTTGACATCATTTCACATGTTTCAGTTCATTTTTATTTATTTTTCCAATTTTTCGGTTAACTCATATTTTTAATATTAACTTATAGAGTTGTATGAGACCTTATATATTTATTGGCAAGCAATCGTAACATGTACAAGTTTCAATATAATATTAATTCTGAAGGGTAGAAAGATACAAAAGGTGTTGAAATGTAGCGATCTATATTTGGTAGATATCTTGTCTTGATTTACATATTATAATGTATCAATCCCTGAGATTTGAGAATGAGATTGGGCACTAACCGCTAAAATATTATGCATTTCTCGCGCACTAAGTAATGCCTACTTGTTCACAATTAAGTTTACTATGAGAGATGTTGATGAACACTTGAACTTAAGCCTTTATGAATTTTTCTTAGCATTCACAATTTATAAAACTGCATAAATAGCCATTTCTGGAGAAAATATTTGAAGAATGAAGATCATTTATACCTATGGCTGCCGAGTAAATAAAATCAAAATTTTATCTAAATATATAGAGAATTTGAGTGACAAACATAAATGGCGACAAACAACTTGGTGACAGCGCATGTCATATTAATAAACGAGTAAAAAAAGATTTTGTAATTCATACCTTGATGAATTCTGGTTGAATGTGATAGGTTTAATTTCGATATGATAGAGAGGTTGCACTGCAACATGAAGAAGAACACAAAGAAGACCAAACAGGCAGTCACCGTAGTCACCGAATTTTGTTTCTTCATTGATACTAACTTTATAAATGATATCGTTAATAATTGATCTCCACAGAGAGTATGCACCCAGCAGTTTTAAGCTTCCGTATTCAACATCAATGCGATCCGGGTATCGCCGTATCAGGTTGAAAGTAGAAATCAGAAAACCACTTTCTTCATGATTTTAGAGTTACAAAATCCTCCTGGAGAAGAAGAAACACTTAAGACAAAAAACTTTCGAAAATAATCATACATATATATTGGAGAAAGAGAGTACCTCTTCTGGGAATGGAGTAGATTGAGAAATTAGTTAATATCTGAAAGCCATAGATAGAGAGGGGCTTAGTGTCAAGAGGCGATTCCTCAGCGTTGAGACGTTGAAAAAAATTTGGTAACGAGGAGGTTTACTTTTTTTGAATAAATAGGAATATATGATATGATTAACTAAAATAGATTAACGTATTAATTGTCAAATCAATATTAGGAATTATATGATATAATAAATCAGTATACATATGGAAAAGACTAAAGAGGGTATAATGTAAAACTTACATAAGGTAGATAATTGATTTTTATTAAATATAAATCAGTTTTAAAGATTAATGATCCACGTTGTTGCTTTAATTTTTCAAATGTTTTTTGTTTAACCATTGATTGAGATTTATGGCAACCATTAAATAATGTCGTTAAAAGCTTGGTGGAAGCTTGGTTATATATAATGTTTTGATTCCTAAGCTCAAGTACTCAACTAAAACAAAATACACCATCAACAATAGAGTTTCTTGAGAGCGATCTTAGCTAATTTGTCTCTCTTTGCGGGATTGTAAAGGTGCCCAATTGCTTGTTGATTTAAGTTCCAAATCCTTTTTATCTCCAACCATAGAAGTTTAATTCCATAATAAATATGATGAATGGTTGCTGAAAAAATGTAACATATGGCACCTTATATTATAGTTCCCGGGTAGATTTAGAATTTTAGTACTCTGTAGACGGATATAGAATCTCGAAAAATATATACAGACATATTAAGGTTTTTAATTTAACAGTTATTCAGTAGTACAGTTAGTCAAACCCTTTAATATATACTAAAAGAGTAATATTAGATCCGCAATCCAATCTTATAACATTTTACGTGGCAGTTCGTTATTGATCAACTCGCAAAATGGTTCTGCTCGCTTGTATAGATCATGTCTGTCCATTTGCGAGCTAACCGATGACAACTGCTCGGGTTGTGAGAAAAAGTTATTAAACTAGTATTATTGTATTAAAGAGAAAAACGTGTTGCACTGTAGGGGTATGTGATCGACTTGTTAAATACGCCAAATGTGGTGAGATGTAGAAATCTGTGGTCGGTGTGCCAGCTGTCTCAATGCATAGAAACGTGTATACATAAGTAATTCTATAATAAAAGTACTCTTGCATTATACATATGTGTTATTAATCCTTGAGAACCAATGGGACACTTAAATACTAAAATATTCAGACATTTCTCGGACACCAAGTAATGCCAACTGGGAAACGAATTTTCCGTCAAGATATGCATATTTGACCTAAATTTTCCGGTATTGACAATTTGTAAATAACTGCATAGCATGATCATATCCAATAAACAAGAACACACTTTAAAACACATACCTTGATCAACTCTGGCTGAATGCAATGCTGTTAAATTTAATATGGTTGAAAGACTACTCTGGTACATGAAGAGGAACGCAAAAGAGGCGAGGAATGCAGTCACTTTCGACAAACATTGCTTCTTCATCGATAATACTTATGTATATAAAAATTTAATTAATATGACCTACTGGTTTTCAGCTGTGTTATGTCTGAAAAAGTAGGACTGACGCAGAGTCTTGTCAGCATAAGCGGTCAGAGCTTAGCTTAGGTAAGTCATGCAGCCATTTAGACGAAGCCATGTCGCACGCTGACGCAAGCGGCATACTCCTACCAGTGCAGTGGGTGTGCGCTAGGCTGGTGAAAGGCTGGAGATGATCCACATGTCCAATCCCTGCAAACGTCGAGTTAATCACTCGAGCAGGTGAGTAACGAGACGTAAGGAAGAATTTGCACGGCAATCTGACCCGCTCCCTTATTTAGTAATCATTACCTTAACTCCCACTATAAATAGAGAGTTCCTCTCTCGTTTATGGGATTAGCTAATTTTTCTCTAGAATAGCATATAAACATACTCTCTCTTGTAATCTCTCGTAAGTGTCAGCTCGCTGAACGCGACCTGATCTCATATATTAATACGATACCAGTGGACATAGGATTCGATTACTTAAACATTCGAACCACTTTAAACACTGTTCTTAATCTTCTATTCAATTCAATACCCTCGTACACGTGTATCTTCTGAGTCAGCTCAGCATTTCCCATTTGTGGTTAGTTGGTGTCAAAATCACACATCAACAAACTGGTAATGCGGCTTCCACTATGTGCATAAACACTAGCGTTTGACACTCAGTTTGAAGGTAATTAACCACTTTCTTGCTGATTTGAGGATTTTCCTGGAAGAAGAAGGAAAAGAGATATGAGAAACTTTCAAAAACAATATTCATTAATTCTTTTGAAATAATAAGTATAGATCTATGTATGGGAGAAAGAATGTACACCTCTTGTATGAAGGAATATTGACAGAAGAATTTAAAAGTAACTCCTCAGAGCAGACAGCATTAAATCCCTAAGATTTATTGCAGACAGAGAAAGGTTTGAGTTGGGATTAGCCGGAGTCAGTTCTGACAGCCCTGAAAAGAAATGGGAATATATGTGGATACCTTCAACCATCTGGTGCTAAAGTTGGTAGCATTCACAGGTTTTAAATTAAGCTATTCCAGACAACCAATTGTAAGAGTCCATCTGCATAAATTTTTTGTTGACTAATTGGTAATCAATGTATTTTTGTAATCTTGTAAATGAAAAATATCACAAACCATTTTGTCTTTCTGGGCCAATATAGTTTTTGTTAGCCCACTGGGTTCTGTATTCTCTTATTGTTTCTCAGTGTTAGTTGAATGGAATACGGATAGTTGAAAGAATAAATAGACTCCATCTCTTACTTTCAAAAGAATAAATTAAAGATGATACTTTGACAGATGGATGGTTGGGATTTGTAAACGAAAAACACGCAGGTAGCGTGGACAACCTAGACGAATATGAAATGGTGATTGTGATTGATGAAGAAACAATAACCTCCCCTAGTCTTTTCTAAACTAATAATAACAACCTCTATTGGGTCTTGTCAATTAACAATGTCAGTGATAAAACAAGTTAGCAGGTCGTGTTTGTATTAATTGGAAAAGAAAAGGCTTGTAGTCAACCTAACACGATTTATTTAATGCTAATATTCAAAACTTATTTAAATAAACAAGTCGGTGGGTAACGTCATATCAAATGACACAATATAATCCATCTAACAAAGTTACATAACTTTAATCAATTATAGCAATAAATAATTACTAATGTAATTATTTCTAATAATGACTATACAAAAATATAATTTTGTTGAACTTTTTAATACATTTTAATTTTGCTTATATAAAACAAAAGTAGGATTATTTTAATACTTTTCATTGGTGATACAAATTACAAATTCTTCAAAACGTTTGTTGATAGAACTGGATCCAACTGTTACTTACCCAAAGAACTGGACCCAACTAACTTAGATCAAAACCCAAGGAACAAAAGAATTTTGCCTTCTATTTTTTAATTTTTGTTATCTTCTTTCTTTAAACTCATTAAGACGAATTGAGGGTAGTTCAGTTTTTACTTTTACTACTAGATATAGGTTTTAGAGCGAAATGGCTACAAAGATATTAATAATAGGGTAAAATGTTAATTAAAAATTATAATAAATCTTTATGCGCATGCGCTTATGTCAAACCAGGGGGAAAATATCTTTTAACTCGTGACAGAAAATATTAATTACAATATCATTCCAAGAATCATTTTAATTAATTTCCTTTGTAATGTTTAAGAAGAGAATTCCACATTCACACACAAACACACAAATGACAAAACTACCCTTCCCTGTCCATAAATTGTTTGGCCTTCTTATACATTTCCTTCGTATATTCTCTAAATCTAACCAAATCAAAATTAACATTTTGCTCCTTCAAATATATGTTCATAATAGCTTCGGACCAATTATTTCCTCGAAAAGCACCTGGATCCTTTATCAATAACTCATTCCTGTCATACTTTTCCACCAAGCTACTCTCCTCTGCATTGATCTTATATTCCATATAATTTAACCCCATAGCCCTAGCTGATTTCGCGAAACACACCTCCGCAACCCATTCAAGCCCTAACGGCACCACCTGCACGAACACCGATCACGGCCGAAGAAACAATGAATGCGTTAGAGCTGCACCGTGTACCCCAACCATAGCATGACTTGAATTTATAAGAGCATAAGCTTCGCGCAATGAGGTCTTCGCAGTTGGTGTAAATACAATAACATCAAAACCTACTTCCTCCGCAACACGTTTTACTTCATCTTGATTTAAGATAGCACGTCCGAGGCTACCTTTGCGACTCGGCAACACAAGCCGCGGCCTAGCCACCGGAGACTTGCGCTTTAGTATTGGGTGGGTTCGGCCATTGCCATAAGCTTTGTCGAGGAAGGCGCGAAAATGAGTGAAGGTTTCTGAATTTGGCATCAAAGCAGGATCTATAGTCATGAAACCATGTGAGATAAGACCCAAAGTGGCAGAAGGAAAACAATGAGTGGTGTTATCATCGTCCAGTTTTACGATAGGATACTTGCTGAATGTTTGTAATAAATCTGCATACTTGTTAACCCACCAATCACGAGCTTTACTGATAACAAGAACAAAATCTTGATCAGGGAAGATTGAGTTGACGGTTATAAAGAGGGGAATGAACCCGTCGTTAAATTCATGCCAGAAGTTTCCAGTGTACCCACCTACACTAAATACTAAAGCTGGAACATGGTGCTGCACTTCACATTTTGGATTTTCTGGGCTTGATGTTATGGTGAGTTCTTTGATTCTGTTCATCATAAACTTCTCCCATTTTCGAGGGTAAGGCCTAATTTTTTCAACAATTGAAGGCGGTGTTGAGGTGGAAGAGTCGACAAGGAACAAAATAGATGTTGTGGAGTCAAGAACTGTAGGACCGGTGATTGCGCATAAATCATAATTATGGTGAGATCTATCGCAGCTGATTTGTGGGGATTGAGAAGGTGGCTGAGGAAGTTGGTCCAACTTGCTTGTTGATTTCAGTTCTAGGTCATTTTTGTCTGCAACCATAGAAATACTATATCAATTTTGGACGAAAGTAACATTTTATTCTTCATATCAGTAATTATTCTTGACTCTTGACATCATTTCACATGTTTCAGTTCATTTTTATTTATTTTTCCAATTTTTCGGTTAACTCATATTTTTAATATTAACTTATAGAGTTGTATGAGACCTTATATATTTATTGGCAAGCAATCGTAACATGTACAAGTTTCAATATAATATTAATTCTGAAGGGTAGAAAGATACAAAAGGTGTTGAAATGTAGCGATCTATATTTGGTAGATATCTTGTCTTGATTTACATATTATAATGTATCAATCCCTGAGATTTGAGAATGAGATTGGGCACTAACCGCTAAAATATTATGCATTTCTCGCGCACTAAGTAATGCCTACTTGTTCACAATTAAGTTTACTATGAGAGATGTTGATGAACACTTGAACTTAAGCCTTTATGAATTTTTCTTAGCATTCACAATTTATAAAACTGCATAAATAGCCATTTCTGGAGAAAATATTTGAAGAATGAAGATCATTTATACCTATGGCTGCCGAGTAAATAAAATCAAAATTTTATCTAAATATATAGAGAATTTGAGTGACAAACATAAATGGCGACAAACAACTTGGTGACAGCGCATGTCATATTAATAAACGAGTAAAAAAAGATTTTGTAATTCATACCTTGATGAATTCTGGTTGAATGTGATAGGTTTAATTTCGATATGATAGAGAGGTTGCACTGCAACATGAAGAAGAACACAAAGAAGACCAAACAGGCAGTCACCGTAGTCACCGAATTTTGTTTCTTCATTGATACTAACTTTATAAATGATATCGTTAATAATTGATCTCCACAGAGAGTATGCACCCAGCAGTTTTAAGCTTCCGTATTCAACATCAATGCGATCCGGGTATCGCCGTATCAGGTTGAAAGTAGAAATTAGAAAACCACTTTCTTCATGATTTTAGAGTTATAAAATCCTCCTGGAGAAGAAGAAAAACTTAAGACAAAAAACTTTCGAAAATAATCATACATATATATTGGAGAAAGAGAGTACCTCTTCTGGGAATGGAGTAGATTGAGAAATTAGTTAATATCTGAAAGCCATAGATAGAGAAGGGTTTAGTGTCAAGCGGCGATTCCTCAGCGTTGAGACGTTGAAAGAAATTTGGTAACGAGGAGGTTACTTTTTATGAATATATATATGATATGATTAACTAAAATAGATTAATGTATTAATTGTCAAATCAATACTAGGAATTATATGATATAATAAATCAATATATATATATATATATATATGGTATAAAGAGGGTATAAATCATTCCACTGGTGCGATGCAATTATGGTGATGTATATGATATGATGAACACACCTACCAAATGAAAGAGATGACCAAATGATTGAAGTCAATAGTGGAAGGAAGCAAAAGAAGCTGATTTCAAGGAAACAAAATATGTATCAGGTCAACAGTGGATTCACATGAAAGAGTGTATCCTAGTTGAATCGTATAAATCCACAGCCAATAGTAAAACACCACACGTAATGTGAGGTTGGTGAGTCCGTTACAAAGTTATTTCATAATCGTCACAGTTTTCAATGGTGCTGCTGCTGCCTTTATAAATTGTTGAGTTGTCATTTTTCGCATTAACAAACATGCATGCCTGTCGCACCTGCACAGATACCGAATTATGTGTATAGTTGGACAAATAATGTTTTTAATTGAATTAACCATTTTTTTCCTTATTTGATGACATTTTATTATTTAAATATTATTTTATTACTCAAATTTATATTTTAACTATGAAAAAAGAATAAACTCAACCCAGACTATTAAGACTTTTAAAGAGAAGAGATTGATAAGTCTTTTAATAGTAAAATATTAGATTTTAGTGATTAAAAACTTAAGAGGGATGATTGTATAAACCCTAATCGTTTGATTGTCAATGATTAAAGGGATCAACAGGAATAGAGTTTAAAAGATTTTGGTAAGTGGTGATTGGAAAAAAGAATGGTAGTAATGCGAGGTTACAAAGATGCAAAAATCAAAAATAAAATATAAATTTAGATAATAAAATAGTATTTTAAAAGCATCTGAATAGGGTAAAGTTGGGATATTAAATTGGTGGTCCAAAAGTTTGGATGTTAAATTGATGGTCCAAATGAAAGGGCAAAGTGGTAAAACGAAACTTAGGAGATGTGGTCCATATGGATATGGTGGGAGGGGATGCAGGAGACTTATCTGACAAAAACAACATGAGTAAATAGTAAGGTAAGGGTACATACTAGATTGGGTGGATCCCACTCACACATCATCATACCACCATCATCTAACTTCTGCTGTACTCCTTCCTTTCCCCCTCTTAATTCTTTTTCCAGATTACGTCATAAAAAAATTTAACATCTTTTTCCTTTTTCCTTTTTCACATTTTATTTACAATAATATAAACTCAAATCTCATCGGTCTTTTTTAATGACAAGTTATATTTGTTTGAAATATGATTTTTATTAGTAAATTTTTTTTTTTAATCAAAGGTGTCCAAGTAGCTTACGCACATCTCGACTAATCTCTCAAGACTCTCAAGTTAACGATTGGATAAATTTCTAGTGGTCACCTCTATCAGTAATAAAAAAAAATTAAACTTAAAACATTTTGAGTAATACACCCAAAAGCCTTTCTTATCCCATCCAAATTCCAATCATCCAGGAGTGATTATTAGAGAGCGTAGTTAAGAATAAGGTTTAATTGTGAATTTTTTTCTGTTCAACATTTTTTATTAATGGGATTTTAGCTTCCAGTAAAAACTCAAAACGAAAACTTCCAAAGCAGATATTTTTTTAAAATCTGAATTATTTTATGGTATTAAATAACTAAAATCAGATTTTAAAAGATATGTTCAACTTATTTTGGGCCGCCTTGGGCTTTTATGGACGGAAGGTCTGGGCTCATTAAATAAAACGGACAACCCGGGCCAAAACAATCCTCTGTATAACGACTCTGTTCAACGAACAGTCCACACATTAGTTGTTTCAGCCAAATCTTGCCTGTAGTGTTTTGTTAACCGATCATAATCACCACAAGAATAAATGAGGGGCCATCTTGTCCAAGTCTTCCTAAATATTTATTCTTCATAAAAAATATATAATAATGAATTGATAGTATTATATTATAATAAAATGGTGATTTGTTGATTAAATTAAATGTAGAAATGGGGCCACAAGAAAAGAATATGAAGTATAGAAATGGGATGTGATGATGTGTTAGTTGTAATACCTTAAAATGACCACACAAGAGAATAAAATAGTATACCTTTTTTTTAATGCAAAGTGAAGTGAAGTGAATGATATATCATCAAATTTACATAATTGACATCACCATTCAAACTTTAATGTTATAGTGACCAACATCACTTGTGGACCCTATTTCACTACACATACATCCTTTTCTTCCTACACCCACCCATTTTATTATTTATCTATTCAAATTATTTAACCATTCACATTTGAAATAACTTAAAAAATGTGAGCTCTTTTCAACCTAACCCTTGTATAAACAGATATGACTTAAAAAATCAATTAAATAATTAGTAAAATATAATTAAATATTTGAAATAATTTAAAAATAAAGCAGTAAAAGGTGACGGGTGAATGAGATTTGAGAAATGACAAATGACATTGAAAAGACAAAAATTGGTAAAAAAAAAATAAAAAAAAAAAGGGAAAAAAAAAAAAATAGAAACAGAAGGGTTTGGGAAGACAGGCACACACGGTTACTTTCTCGAGAAAGCCGGGGAAAAAGAACTTTGGGAGTCGTGACTCAGTGACGCAATGTCAAATAAAAAGTGNAAAAATAGGATCCAGAATAGGGATAAAAATATTAAACCAAACGCATACTAAGTTATTCAGAGTTTTTTTGTAATTTATTTTTCATTTAGGGGCAAATTTATAAAACTTATCAAAATATCTTAAAACTTAAGGAGGGTAAACTTACTTACCCTCCTTGACCCGCTCCCTACATCCCACCGTTTAGTAACAATCATAAGCCAACCATTTGACTTGTGATTGGATGGTAAGATCTTAAATTAGATCTGATAAATGGGCGGGTTGGACGGATATAGTCCAGATAACAATGGATTGCGAGTGAAAAAATCTCACAGGTTGACATTTTTATGATTTGTATCCGCCCGTGTAGATACGGGTCACCCGTGAAAATGGCAGTGGCCTTTTACATTTTACACCTTTTTCACCAATCACGAGCTTTACTGATAACAAGAACAAAATCTTGATTAGGGAAGATTGAGTCGACGGTGATAAAGAGGAGAATGAACCCGTCATTAAATTCATGCCAGAAGTTTCAAGTGTACCCGCCTACGCTAAATACTAAAGCTGGAACATGGTGCTGCACTTCACATTTTGGACTTTCTGGGCTTGATGTTATGGTGAGTTCTTTGATTCTGTTCATCATAAACTTCTCCCATTTTCGAGGGTAAGGCCTAATTTTTTCAACAATTGAAGGCGGCGTTGAGGTGGAAGAGTCGACAAGGAACAAAATAGATGTTGTGGACTCAAGAACTGTAGGACCGGTGATTGCGCATAAATCATAATTATGGTGAGATCTGTCGCAGCTGATTTGTGGGGATTGAGAAGGTGGCCAAGGAAGTTCGTCCAACTTGCTTGTTGATTTCAGTTCTAAGTCCTTTTTGTCTGC